TTTGACTCGGGCTCACCAGCACTGAAGTAAATAGACTTCTGCTCTGTGTTTAATCAGGCTGCTGTGTGTAAGTGAGCTCACCTGCTGCCAGGCGTCTGAAGCGCGAGCTCCATCAGCGGAGCACACCTGAGACTCGGTCGAGCCGCGCGGATCCCACAGAACTGCTGTCCCTGAAAACGCGCCGCTCCTCCCTCTCACTATCTCTCTCTCTCTCTCTCTCCCTCGTTCTCAGCATTGGTGTTACACTCTCTCTCTCTCTCTCTCACACACACACACACTCTCTCTCTCTCTCTCTCACACACACACACTATTAATTATTAATAATAATAAGAAAAAAATAATAATAATAATTGTACAACAGTACATGTAAGAAATGCTCTTGCTTCAGTTTTGTCCACTGGCTGACAGTCTTAGTTTGTGACAGGCTGATACATATCTTGCTGCTGTTGGGATCGTTTTGGAATCTTCCCCTAAAATGTTACTTAATTTTTCTGTATTTGGTAATGCCATAAAATGTGGTTTAATTTGTAGGAATTTGGGGAAATATGCAGCTCTAATGTTGTGATAGTAATCACAGTGCAGTAAGAAATGTTCCTCTGTTTCCAGCTCTTTCTGTGAGCACAGTGAACACAGTCTCTGTTCTCGCGGCTGCCATCTCTGTCTGTGTCGTCCTCTCTCTATAGCCAGACAGTGATCACTCAGTCTGTATTTTGTCAGTGTCTTTCTTAATTTGTGATCTTTTACACAGCTCAGGTATTCTGCTGGTTTGTAGTCTCTGTTTAGGTCTAAATACAGCTCCATCTTCTTTTGTAATTTAGTGGCATCTTTCCAGTAAGCAATGTAATTGTGTTTTTGTAGCTGTGTGATGTGGTTGGGCCGGAGTGTGCTGTGCTGGTTTGGCTGTAGTTTGAGCACCAGCTGTAGAAGGGCACTCTTCTGCAGGTTCTGCTCCTGCCACTGCAGGGCTTCAGTCTGGTAAGAGCTCGCATCACTGCATCTCAGGTGCTGCTGGAATTTCACAGCTCTCTTTTGAATACTAATTAATAATGGGTATTGTCCTAATTCAGCTCTGCACGAGTTGTTTGGGGTTGCTCTGTTAACTTTTAAGATGCTTTTACAAATTTGGGTATGCATAATTTCAATTTCTTCTTTTTCCCATTTGGAGAAATCTTGGGTTTTTAGGGGTCCCCATATCTCACTGCCATAAAGAGCGATTGGTTCGATTATTGCTTTTAGGATTTTTAGCCAGGTTTGAATTGGAATTTCAAATTGAATTGTATTTTTGATCATGTAGAAGACTCTCAGTGCCTTTGCTTTCAGTTCATTCACAGCCAGATTGAAGTTCCCTGTTGAGCTGATTTTTAGTCCCAGATAGCTGTATTCATGGGTGTGTTGGAGGACCTGGTTTCCCGCTCTGAAAGTGTGTTTATGTTCCTTACACCTGGGTCTCTTTTGAAAAATCATTATTTTTGTTTTTGCGAGGTTGATTTTAAGAGCCCATGTTTGACTGAATGTCTCTATGATGTCGAGGAGCTGTTGTAGTCCCTCTTTTGTTTTTGACAGAATGACTAAATCATCTGCATAGAGGAGACATTTGATTTCTGATTCAGTTAGGCTTGGGCCGGGGGCAGTCGAATTGTTTAATTCTTTGCCTAATTCATTGATATAAATGTTAAACAGAGTGGGGCTCAATGGGCAACCTTGTCTAACTCCTCGTTGTTGAGAGAAAAAATTCTGTTCGATTATTCCCAATTTTTACAGCACATGTATTGTTTTTATACATGGTGCTGATTAAATCAAAAGTTTTCCCTCCAATCCCATTTTCCAGTAGTTTTAGAAAGAGTCCTTCATGCCAGATTGAATCAAAAGCTTTTTCAAAATCGATAAAGCAAGCAAAGATTTTGGTTTTGTTTTGGTGTACATGTTTATCAATGATAGTGTGGAGGGTATAAATGTGGTCAGATGTTCTGTGTTTGGGCAGGAATCCAATTTGACTTTTTTCCAAGATTTTGTGGGTTTTGAGAAAGTTTTGTAATCTTGTGTTAATAATCGAACAGAATATCTTCCCCAGGTTGCTATTGACACATATGCCTCTGTAATTGCTTGGATCAAACTTGTCTCCTTGTTTAAAGATGGGTGTAATTAGGCCTTGATTCCAGGTGTCTGGAAAATATCCTGCCCTCAAAACAATGTTGAATAATTTGGTTATTGCAGTTTTGAATTTATCATTTGTGTGTTTGATCATTTTGTTTAATATTCCGTTGATGCCATATGCTTTGTTGGGTTTTAGTGCATGTAGTCTGTCTGTTAGCTCATTTACTGTGACTGGGAAATCCAGGGGATTCTGATTGTCTTTAATTTTTTCTTTCAGGATTTCTAATTTGGTTTTTATTTCATTTCGAGCAGGATTTGTTTCAGTTGTTTTGTACAGATTTTCAAAGTGTGTCCTCCATATGTTCTCAATTTGAATGGCCAATTCTTCCTTTTGTGGTCTATAGAGAGTGTTCCAATTGTTCCAAAAGTTATTGGTATTTATTGATTCCTCCATTGTTTGAAATAATTGTTCTGTATGCTCTTCCTTTTTTGCTTTTAGAGTTTGTTTGTACACTTTAAGAGCTTCATGATATTGAAGACGGAGTTCTTGGTTGTCAGGATCTCTGTGTTTTTTATTTGAAAGATTTCGTACTGTCGTTCTAATTCTTTTACACTCATCGTCAAACCACTTTTCATTGGTGTTTTTTGGTTTTCTTTTTGATGATTTTTTCAAATTGCACATGGATGCTGATTGGTGAAATATATCTGTAATGTCCTTTAGTGCCAGATTTATGCCT